CAGTCATTAAAACGAGTTAGCTAAGTGGTTATAACGAGTTAGCTAAGTGGATATAACGAGTTATCTAAGTGGTTATTAGGAGTTAGCTAAGTGGTTATAACGAGTTTGCTAAGTGGTTATAACGAGTTAGCTTAGTGGTTATAACGAGTTAGCTTAGTGGTTATAACGAGTTAGCTAAGTGGTTATAACGAGTTAGCTAAGTGGTTATAACGAGTTAGCTATGTGGTTATAACGAGTTAAAAATTAAAGTCATTAAAACGAATAAGCTAAGTTGTTATAACAAGTTAGCTTAGTGGTTATAACGAGTTAGCTAAGTGGTTATAACGACTTAAAAAAATTAAAGTCGTTATAACGAGTTAAGTAAGTCGTTATAACGACTTAGCTAGCATGTTATATCGAGATTAGATATAACATGCTAGCTAAGTCGTTATAACGACTTAAAAATAAAACTACGTATGATACTAATGGGCTTCCGTAGTCACCCCTTATGAAACCCCGTTTTAACTAAATTCCAAAAGAAAGACATTTTTTGACATTGTAGTTTTTTGGTTTTACACATCAATGTCAACATGCATCCGAACAGAATGTACACATATTAAGTGTCATTTAGTGTGTTTGTTTAAAAAAGCAATGGCGAGTTCAACTGTAGTAAATTTGACTGGATTAATTATTCTATTTAAGTAAAATGTTTGACGTTAACTAAAACCTAAGGTAAGGAAATTTTATACTGTCTGTGCACCACCTTAAGATGACTAAAACAAAACACATTCATTGTTGGGAATATCATTTTTTTTTGTGATGAATCAAGGAATCCTGCAAAAGGTGATCCAAAACATAATTGTTGACTTAGCAATCAGAAACTGCTATGAAGTACTTTTAATATGCATAGTTATTTATTTTGTTTAAATCGAAGAAGGAAAATATGAAATCGAATCTTTCTCGTTCTTATTTATTATATGCGCAAGTTCATGATTATAAACCATTTAAAGCCATTGGTTTATTTTTTATAATTTGAGTCCATTCAGTAGAACTTGCATCATAAGGAATCAATGAGACAAAATTTATTGTTATATTTAGTTTAATCATACAAGGATTGCAAACCAATTTCCTTTTATTTTAAATTATGAAGAATTTACATTGAGAATACTTTGATTATTATCTCTTTTAAATGTATATCCTATAGGAAAAAGGTACAGCATGCTTTGGTTTCATTTGATATGACTTTTTGGAGGAAACAGAGTCGTTTCAGTTGAAGAAAAAATGACCCAAAAAATGCGGGGGTGGCAGTTTAAATTATTAAAAACATTTAAATTCACAGTAAAACTTATAATAAAAATTGATTAATTAAATGCACATATATTATACACTCTAGATTAAACATTTCATTTTAAATAATAACTATTTACATACAAGAAGGACAATTTACCAACATCTGTCTTTCTCAAATTAACTTCTCCTTTACGAATTACGACTACTTAAATATATATGTGTACTTTTAGTCTTGAAAACAAACAGCATTTTGATGCGTTTCTGGAATTTTTTTTATGAAGCGTATGCTGTTCAGCAGTCAGCGAGTAGAAATTTTCTTCTTCTGGTGATATGAAATACTACGATCTTCCAATATAATCTTTAATATTTCCTTTCTTTTTGTATCATCTTCAAATATTATACTCTCATATATGCATTATCATGTACACGAAACATTTTTCTTCCTCTGGTTAATGGGAATATTTTACCCTGCGTATTTTGGCCACAATGTGTATCCGCGGTTTAATATTTTGATGACGTGTGTTGCCTAGTAATAACAGAGACGCTCTGGTAATAACAATTCCCGCGAAATTATTGAAAAAGGAAATTTTGATAAAAAACATTGCTTTGAAAGATGATAAAAATGTTATCTGAATGTGGATTGTATAGATATTGAAAAATATCAGCCCCTCGACAGAATATGAAGCTAAATGGCTCGTTCGCTACGCTCACTCGACATTTATCTTCATATTCTGGCTCGCGGGCTGATATTTTTCTATATCTGCATATCAACATCCAGATAACATGTACATATTTGATAAAATAATAAATTTCAATGGTATTTTTAAAATCAGCGTAGTTTCTGTAAAAGCCATATCTTGTTCAGTATATACGTAAAATGTGGTTGCAATGTCCTACAAAATATCCATGTGCTGATTTGATCTCTCACCACACAAGGTAACAAGATACAATGTACATGTATATCATGTTATCATACATGTACCTATATAAAAAAAAAGGTTTTCCGTCCTTCAATAAGCGCTTTCGATTTTATTTTTATTTTTAAAAGACACGGAAATGATTCACGTTACCATACATGTACATATTTATTACATTATAAACATTATCATATATCCATCTGCCATGCCTTTATGGATACTTGTTTTATAATGAATGTTAACATATGTTTTATTGCATAAATCATTAAACAAAATAGATAAAATATTGAAGGCTTTCAAAACACGAACAATTCTTTATAGTAGAATGAGGAACCTCATAAAAAAGGGTCTGAATGAGGGTCATTCATTTCTGCATTCTTTAATTATTTATGTCATTTTTCTCTATTCTTTATATTTTTTGCTCTTTATTCTCTATTCGTTATATTTTAGCACCCCATTATTATAAAAATAAGGAGATGTGGTATGATTGCCAATGAGACAACTATTCACCAAAGTTTAAATGAAGTGGATGTAAGCAATTATAGGCAACAGTGTGGCCTTCAACAATAAGCAAAACCCATACCGTATAGTCGGCTATAAAAGGCCCCGACATGAAAAATAGGAAACAATTCAATTAAGAAAACTTACAGCCTAATCTATAACGAAACAATTTACGAAAAACAAATATGGCAGACATGAACCAACAACAACCACCGAACTACAGGCTCCTGACTTGGGACAGGCACATATAGAATGTGGCGGGTTAAATTAGTTTGAAGGCGCAAAACCCTCTACCTAAACTGGGACAGTGGTGTAACGGCACAAACCAAGAACAAACTATGCAAAACGATAAACGAAAAACATATATTAGAAACAGCATAAAAAAACAACCACTCAATTACAGGCTCCTGACTTGGAACAGGCACATATAGAATGGGGCAGGTTTAAACTAGTCTGCGCAAAACCCTCATCCTGATCTGGGACAGTCTAACGAAAACACAGACAGAACGTGGCAGCCTAGCAATACATCCCACAACAGAAAAGACACTAAGTAAAGATCTGAGAGTACTAGCAGTTATTAAATGTAAATGCAAAAGCCAATAACAACTAGTAACACAAATGTTTTAAGTTATATATTTATGGTATTTCTTATTCGATTACTAAATGTCATCTTTGATTGTCACTTTTAAATCGATTACCCTCTAGACTTAGGACGATATAATGTAAAAGCCTGTAACAGGTGTAATGTTTAAATAAAAAGAAAAGAAAATTGACAAACAAAAAATTTGAGAAATTGAAAAATTGACCTCATTTAATTCAGAATACAGATATCAAGACCATTCCCTTTTTTGTCGTACAGTGTTGTTCTCAACCGACTCTCTTGGTCAGTTTCTAGAATTAAGTTAAGATATGAGGCAGACGTAACTTTATCTGTAGTATCCTTTATTTTATAATAAGTTCGATATACTAATGCATCATAATTTCTAGTGGCAGTATAAATGTGTAGTGTTTATTTTCGTATAGACAAGCTAAAAGAAAAAAAACAAAAACAAAACAAACACAAATACCGAACTCCGTCTTTACACGTAATCCATTGGATGTGTACTAATTGATATTTTGTCCCCAATTCATGATTTGTTGGCAGTAACTGCGAGTGCTCTCAGATCGGTACTGTGTGTCTCAAGTCTATTTGCCAGTTGTTTATTTGTGCTACAAATCGGTTTGATGAGTCAAGTCCTTTTATGCAGTTTGTCCTTATGATGAGCTGTTACACCACTATCCCTGATAATGGGAGGGTTTGGAGTTTGGATACATGATGAACCCCGCCTCATTCTGCATATGCCTGTTCAAAGCTTAAGTCAGAAGCAACAAATTCAGCAGCTGTCATTTGTTGCTTTATATCACATTGGTTTTTCGTTAAGTCATATTTTGTACATACATCAGCCCGTTGTTTTTCTCGTTCGAATGATCTTACATTTTGTCATGTTGGGACCTTTGACCTGTCATGTGGTACAGATTTTGCTCATTATTGATGGTCGTACTGTGGGTTTATCTTGGGGATTTGGTATCTGGTTGAGATTTATTTCATTGGCTATCACGCAACATCTTCTTTTTTGTCTAAAGAAGATATTAAGAGGCATCTAGAAAAGGCCTTAAGATAACACCATTATAAAAGGCAAATAAGACGTACTATGAACTGTTGTTCATTGATTATACTTATACATATACCAGTAATGTACGAAAAGTGGTTACTGACCAAAATGTGACAAACATGTTATCTTTATGGAACGCCACAGTTGTCTTATGTGGAAATCTGGTATTACGTTATGTTGTTCTGTTATTACTTGATGATAGTTTGTCTATGTACCATAGTTTGTTTAATTTTCCATTGAAAAAGTGTGAGGGTATCTACACATACACCACAGTTCCATATCAACCCTCTGATTGGTTTACCAGAAGATTGAAAATGGTCATGTGGCGTATGTTAGATACCTCACACTTTTAGCCAGAACCTACAATGTAACATTTTCTTTCCTGTAATATTTTTCAACTCTAAATTTTTGCTAAAACTATAGTGTTGGGTAGTTGTCTCATTGGCAAATACCCCATATCCTTTCTTTTTCTTAAAATAAATACAACAATAAATTTTAATAACTGTGTTATTTTTTTAAAAATGTGAAACTAGAAGCCACATATATAAATCCTCTGATCGTCGAGAATGGCACACTGGTAATTTCACTACAAAAAAAATGCATAAAATTCCATTATGCAAACATTTCACTACAAAAAAGGATTGAATTCCAAAATGCATATATTCCTTTGAATAAAAGACACCACATAATCCACAAATTATGAAATACTGAAATAATCACAAATATATTTAACTTCCACTATTAAAATTGAACACACACCCAGTGAACAAACTTCCAACGCCTCCTGCAGCACTTTTTGATGGTTCACGATTTTCTGTGCGATTCTGAATTTCTGTGCTGTCTTCATGTTTAATTTTCTTGCAAATGCTTTCGCTCGGTTCAAGGATATTTGAGATATCCTTTAACATCTCATTGGAAGCCCTTTTATATTTTCTAACACTCTCCACTGACCTATGGCCTGTTCTGTTCATGATTTCTTGTTCTGGGACTCCTGCCTGGTATAATGTCGTGGCACATGTCCTTTTACCAGAGTGGTTAGTGAAATACCCATCTATTCCGGCTTCTGCACACATGGTTTTCATGATATTAGACAATTTGTTGACCCCTACCGACTGTTCACCAAACTTAATACTTCCTTTATCTAGCGGTCTCCTGTAAACGGCTGTTCCATTTAAATCACGTACAATATTCAAATATTGTTCATATATCTTAAAAAGTACTGGATTTTGTAGATAGTGTTTTAAGTTTTTGGCACTTAAGTTCCGCTGATTGAGTCCACCTGAAAAAATGAAGTATTGACATTGAGTGACATTTAAATCATACACTGAACAAAACTAATTAATGAAATATGAAACAGTTTTATATCGCCTGGATTGGGTAAAATGTAATAAGCATACACGCTACGCAAGATATAATGTACCCGTTTTTACAATGAATTAGCATAAATGAAGCACCTGTTGTAGCGCGGACCTCAACGAAGACACCCGGATTTTCTGAAAATCGTCAGTCTGACAAGTATTGTGACCAAATTACACAAAAGAACGAATTAAAATACACAAGTTCACTGTCACAAGAAAAGAAAATACTAAAAAAATGTAAGAAAAATTAAACTGACCTTTGTACGTTTTGTTGGCTCTGCCCTTGAATAATATATAGGCACCCGTCTGATCCTTTCCCAGTTCGAACTGGTCCACGGACAGATTCCAATGCTCATCTACACCTCTGAGTCCAAAAAGTTTACTGTTATAGAAAAACATGGTATTCATTATAGCTTTAGAACTGGTATTCCCAAGCAAACCCTTTTCCCAGAGAGTGCTTTCTGTTTCCTCGCTTATCGCCTCTGCCTGTTTAGTAGTGGTGCCTATACCCTGTTTTGTGAGTTCGGTCATGCGTGCGCTTAAAGAACGTCTGAAATAATAAAATACACAGTCTTTTTCGTCCAAAAAGTTCATATGCACACTATTCTCTCGGTGAAATCTCAGTATGCCAACGCATAAAAGATATAATGTCTTTGGGGGATACGGCTTACCATCTTTTCTTCTGGTCTCTATTACAAACTTGCTAAGCCACTGATTTACATCATTGGCGGTAAACTGTAAAAGTTCTGGAATGGCACAATAATTACTTTTCATTCGCGCAACTCTCCAGTCGTTAAATGTGGCGACACTCCAAGTAGTATTTTTCCGTGTATTTCTGCTTTCAGTTGACTTAACTAATTTATCAATATCAATATCTTCCACAAAAGAATAGCGTGAATTCTCGTTACAATTCACAGTAACAGCCTTTTCCAATTCGTCAATAATATTATCCGCCGTAAGGGGAACCTGCGTAAGTTCAAAATCTGGCAAGTCATCCATTTCAAAATCCACTTCATATTGGTCCAAAGCCTGAGAAAGAGTTAAATCCTCCAGCTTTTCGAAAGCAGTATTTTCATTTTCAGCATCTTTGCATGTTTGTGATAATGTTAGATCGTCTATACTGTTGTCCCATTCAGGAATTACATTCAAAAAGTCAATGTCACAGGTCTCCATTTTTGCAGCCATTTCAGACGACTGAAACGCGCAAACTGATAATTCAGCGGGAAAGGCACTTTTCATCACGTGATATCAGTTAATTGTGACGTCTAATGAACTTTGACACATGTCATTTACCAAATTAAAAATTTGATTGGGTATGTGTAGATACACCACAGGATGGACTAAATTTCACTCGAAAGCAAAGCTTTCTCGTGAAATTTAGTCCCTCCTATGGTGTATCTACACATACCCAACACTTTTTAATTTGGTAACTATAACTTACATAATATGATTTTGACATTACGTAATGATGTTTTGATATAACTCAATATGGAAAAGTCAGTACCTAATGATATTTCGATATTACATGATATGGTTTCGTATTGACTTGATATAGTTTTGTCATTACTTAATATGGTTTTGTCATTACTCGATGTGGTTTCACCATTATTTAATGTGGTTGTGTCATTAGGCATTGTGGTTTTAACATTACTTGATGTGTATGTGACTTGACGTAATGTAGTTGTTTCATTACATGATGTGGTTTTGTTATTTCGTAATGATGATTTGCCAATTCTTTATATGGCTTTAACATTACGTAATGATGTTTCAAAATTTGACGATTTTACACTACATGATGTGTTTGTTTCAGTATTTGATGTGGTCATGTCATTCTTTGATGTGATTATCCCATTACTACTACGAGGTAAAACCACGTGACCATTTTGGAAAAAATATGCTCTATTTTTAGACCGATTTCCATATGTCTTTTGTGTAATGCGCTTTGGATGAGTACCGCTATCCATTAAGTTAAGTTAAAGTTGTTGTTCATAGTTATTTGTTATGAAAAAAAAGGAACGACAGACAAAAATAAGAAAAAAAGTACGAAAAAATTAACAGTAACTCGGACATATCCCAAACCATTTGGTCCTGCCGTTTTTTCCTTAGTTCTCAAATGGAAGCTGTAAATTAATAAATAAATTAAAGATTCTTATCAACCCTGTGTCTCGCCGGGTAATTCTGCTGCCAGTGTAAAAGCGTAAATTAAATGTTGACTGACTGTACATTAACCGGTACACTTAACGGAGGAAAACATGTTTTTCTGTAGATGCTTTTATCTTGATCTTGAAGAATAACTCCTATACAAGTTTTATAACAATTCATGGAGATTTACAAATTTATCATGTCAAAACAGTTTAATTCGGTAATATTAAATGCATTAAAAAAACCTTATATAGAAATAAAGAAATGTGGTATGATTGCCAATGAGACAACTCTCAACCACATACCAAATTTCGAGTCGAACTTCGAGTTTGAGTCACATTTAAAGATAGAGTTCCGAATTACAATTGGACTTCAACTTTAAGTTTGAGTCACCTTTTGGCGTAGAGTTCGAGGTAAACCCTTATTTGAGTCTCATTTAGATTAAGATTAAGAGTTGAAATTCGAGTTATCTAATATGAGTTCTATTTTTTTTATCGTGGATCAAGGGCTTTTGCTCGAGCTTCCGAAAAGAGGGTTCAGGGGTAGGTATGCGTACAAAAGATAAACAATTTTACAGCATACAAAACACAACATAGAAATTGAAATAAAGTTAGATGTGGTGTGATTGCCAATGAGAAATTTATCCACCATAGTTTAAATGCAGTGGATGCAAGCAATCATAGGCAACCGTACAGCCTTCAATACACCGTATAGTCGGCTACAAAAGACCACCACGTGAAAATGTGAAACAATTCAAACGAGAAAACTAATGGTCTAGTTTATAGCTAAACAATCTACGAATAAACAACTGCCCCATGAGCAGATGATACGCCCGTCGTCTTGTGTGTGAATTTTTATGCAATAATCATAAATAGTTTCTGACATACGGCGCGACATGCGAACCCCCCCCCCCCTTTTTTTAAAAAAAAAACTAAATATCTCTAAAATAAAATTTTGAATCAATTCCAAAAAGTATACAGATCTTAAGATTAATATAACTAAGAAGTGTGTAAGATTTTAAGCAATAATCATAAATTGTTTTTGAGATACGGCGCGACATGTGAAACCCCCCCTTTTAAAAAAAAACAAAAAATCAATATCTCTTAAATAAAATTTTGAATCAAAACCAAAAAGTATACAGATCTTTAGATTAATATAACTAAGAAGTGTGTAAAGTTTTAAGCAATAATCATAAATTGTTTTTGAGATACCGCGCGACATGTGAAAAAAATACACACACCTGTTTTAGTTACTACATTGTAAGTCCCGTAACTCAAAAAGTTTTAATCTTATTTTCACCAAAAAGTATACAGATCGTTTGACCATCATTAGAAACAACTATGTTAGGTTTCATGAAATTTGGATAAGTCGTTCTCAAGTTACGGTGCGACATGTTTACGCCGGACAGACAGACGGACGAACCGGCAAGTGGTTTTGGGATATCCCCCTTATGTCCGAATTACTGTAAATGTTCTAATACTTTTTTTTCATAATTTTGTCTGTCGTTCCCCTTTTTCATACCAAATAACTATGAACAACAACTTTAACTTTAATTTGAACTTTAACTTAATGAATAGCGGTACTCATCCAAAGCGCATTACACAAACGACATATGGAAATCGGTCTAAAAATAGAACATATTTTTTTTTCCAAACTGGTCACGTGGTTTTATCTCGTAGTCGTAATGGGATAACCACATCAAAGTATGACACGACCACATCAAATACTGAAACAAACACATTATGAAGTGTAAAATCGTCAAATTTTGAAACATCACTACGTAATGTTAAAGCCATATAAAGAATTGACAAATCATTATTACGATATAACAAAACCACATCATGTAATGAAACAAACTACATTACGTTATGTCACATACACATCAAGTAAATGTTAAAACCACATTGCCTTATGACATAACCACACCAAATAATGGTGAAACCACATCGAGTAATGACAGAACCATATTAAGTAATGACAAAACTATATCAAGTCAATACAAAACCATATCATGCAATATCGAAATATCATTATGTAATAACTATTCCATATTGAGTTATATCAAAACATCATTACGTAATGTCAAAACCATATTATGTAAAGACAAACTATCATCAAGTAATAATAGAACAACATAACGTAATATCAGAGTTCCACATAAGACAGCTGTGGCGTTCCATATATCTTTATTAAGATATTTTAAAGATATGAGTTTTCGGCGAAGAAATGTAGCCCATCAAATGAATTGAAAAGTTATCAAATATTATGGCATCACAAAATGAAACCGTGAATTAATGTGTTATTCGGTCACGCGTTGTATATTTTTCTACGTTTGATTTCTTAGATAAGTTATCATATACATACCATATATATAAACTGACGTCATTTGAACTCTCACTAGTAGATAGTTGTCTCATTGGCCATCTCACTAGTGGATAATTGTCTCATTGGCCATCACACTAGTAGATAGTTGTCTCATTGGCCATTATACCATTTCTCCTTATTTGTACAAGCAAAACTCATGGTACTTAAAGGTAAGTGTAAGCACCTCGATAAATACTACACATGTATCGAGCTTATAGATGACCCGTTATACCTTCAAAAATTATCCGTGCAATTAAACAGTGCTTGAGTACTAACCAAGGAAGTTAAAATTGCATTATTGACCAAACTGGTTGTAAAAGAAGTCGAATCATAGACATAAATTGGTGATTAATTGTTGGTATCTTAATGTCCAGTGACAAATATTTCATGCATGTTCAGAACGAGAAAAAGTTAATAAAAATTCAATAAGTAGGTGTTTTAATACAGGTCGTCCTGAATGAAGATTGGGGAAATTTGGATTGCAACTGGGAAATGAGGTTTTATTGGATAGGGTCAGCAACTTTGCCTTGCAACAGGTGACGTGTACCTACGGACCCCCAACAACATGTTAAAGGGTTTCCGACGTGCATAGAGCTTGACACTCTCTCTACAAGAGGCAACGTATTTAATAATCGCAATCTGACTGGACGTGGTTCCGTACTCGTATGTTTCGAACAGTCAAATGGAAAGCCCAACGTTGGCAAGTTGTTTTTACTGCCGATAGGAAGAAGACCAAAGTGACCATATCTCTAATCCCCAGTCCCCTTTGAGTGCATAGAAAAAGACAAGGGAAAACTAAAATAAAACAGAATAAAAATACATATATCAAGTTATGATATATAGTTGCTGAGATAAAGTGTAACCGAAATTATTATGGATTGATTGGTGCAAGTACGGGCAGAGATAAATGAGCCAACCCCAATCCATCGTCGATTGGTGCAAAAATCCGAAAGGTATACCACTTATACAAACACTTTTTTTTATAGGGATAAAAATAGCAAACGAATCCAACATAGACATGGGATAAAGACAGGATCTGCTGAAAACTTAGGTAATATGTTTTGTCAAGTAGTGCACCCGAAGTGTTGCTCTTCACACAAAAACAGTCAGTGATAAGTCGAAAAAAGCGAACAATTTTAGTAAACACAAAATACGCCCAATAAAGGACCAGTGGCATATACATATAACAAACAAATGCAATGATACAAAAACAATAAATATATATACATACATTCGACATAGACATACAAAATGTTCGTTTCAAATTAAACTGTTACGCCTCCTGCCCTTATTTCTAATGACTGCCCAAAAAGAAACCAACCAATTTTACTTGTTCATTACTTTGTGTTTTAAACATTTGTTTCTTCTGTTGAAAATCATAAATTTTAACTACTTTTTAGAAAATCTATTGACCTAGACAGTAAAGTACTGTTATTTAAAACTATCGAAAATAATTTCACCTTAGAAAATTATTTTTTCAGAAAGTTATCTATAAAATAATGTAAAAAAGTTAACATCCATTACTTTATGATAGTTTGAAAATCAGCAGAAGCCGACTATATAAACTTATCGGTAGGTAGCAGTTGAAATGCATTTTCAATTTAGTGACATTTCCAAATGTGTATACATTTAGTTTAGTAACATATCTCAATTGATACGTTATTCTCGTGCTTGTTCACACTATAAGGACTTCATATACATGAGTGTGCTCCTTACGCAGAAACTGCTCCAACAAAGTTATGAGGAGGACAGATTAAAAATGACACTCCAAACTAACTAAGGACATTTTAACCACGTGTTAGATTGTGGTTTGTCGTTACGTCGTCTGATCTTTTAATTACCGAACGTGACTTATTCCCGATTGTGACTGTTTTGCTGAGTGTGAAACCGCATTGCTATAAGAAGTGTCACGGTACTTTTCTATCCCAAATTCATGTATTTAATTTTGATGTTATATTTGTTATTCTCGTCGGATTTTGCCAAATGTCTTAACGTCTTTTCTGTTATATTCGTGTGTTATGGTAAAGATAATTAATCACCCCCTTCGTTTTTTAGATTTTAGTTTGGTTCAACGAAATTTATACGATATATTTGGTTTACAGTTTGATTCAGAAGAAACACCGACATAGCTAGATAATACAATTAATTATCTAATTACTACCACATTTTGATATTAATAAGTATTGTAATTTTCATTGTTATTAATAAATGTAATGTCAGTATTACAAATCTAATTTTGAATCAATCCTAATCCTATCTTATTTTTGGGAAATATTTTTACAAATTCAAATGTGACGTCACTTTGTGTGTTGTTTTTTTTTAGAATTTCAAATGTGACGTCACTTTGTGCGTTGAGGCTTTGGCTAACTCGGCTGTGTATTTCTATGTGTTGGATTAAGTTGTTTTATGTAATGTATCCGTTTTTATTCTGTAGTTAGTCCCCACTTCGGTTTTATCATGTATATCTATTATATAGTCATTTTATAAAATTTACTGTTTGCAAAATTATAAATTATTCTAAATAATAAGGATGTTCTTGTCCCAGGCAGAAAACCCTGGCCGTGTTAGGCGCAACTTTTTGGAAGTTCTGGTCCTCGGTGCTCTTCAGCTTTGTACTTGTTTTGGCTTTCAAACGTTTTTCATCTGAGCGTCACTGGTTGGTCTTGTGTGGACGAGACGCACGCCTGGCGTATTGAATTTTAAGCCTAGTACCCTTTGTTAGCTATTATTCGTGTGTTTCTTTGTCCTATATGTTCTTCAATTTATTTGTATTGTGGTCCTGTCATGTGATGTTGTCGTTTTGGTGGTGTGTTTGACGTTGCCATAAAAGCGGGAGATTTGGAATGCCACAAAACCAGGTTCAACTTACCATTTTTTTCTTAAAATGTCCTGTACCAAGTCAGGAAAATGGCCATTGTTATATTATAGTTTGTTTCTGTGTGTGTTACATTTTAATGTTGTGTTTTTGTTGTGTCGTTGTTCTCCTCTTATATTTGATGCGTTTCCCTCAGTTTTAGTTTGTAACCCGGATTTGTTTTTATCTCTATCGATTTATGAGTTTCGAACAGCGGTATACTACTGTTGCCTTTATTTATCGTGATCAATTTAATATGAATGTCTAAAGGAGATTACTTTTCGTAGATTGATATTTGAAAAAAAGTCCATATAAGATTAATTTATCTTTGTTTACCTACAAATCAGTATAAAATATGTCATGCATATTCAGGACAAGCAAATCAAGATTAGGCTACTCACAATGCTATTTATAAACAGAACTAAATTGAACTAGGCAAACGTATGAAATGAACGAAATATAACAAAAAATTATTAAAGAATTAAAATACTCAAATTGTCGAAATAAAACATTTTTATCTTTATCCTGGTGGATACACTTTTCTAAACATCATAACAGATGATTTCATTGAATAGGATGATGACTTCCAATAGTACCAAGTAATACCCTTCTCGTCAATCTGTCCACTTTCAACATATCGTCCGTTTAGATTGACAAGGGTACAACGACGATACCACCAGGCTCCATTCTTTTCATTTGCACAGTTCCGTGACGAACCAATATCGTTATCCCTGTCCTTTGTACTAAAACTCATCCCATTATTATACCCCAAACTGTCTCCTATTAAAAAAAAATTGCAATATGTATTCAATAATATCATTACACACTATTTTTATTGGTTTTATTACATTTTTCAATTTTTTTTAAAAATTTGTGGGGGGTCCAAAAAATCATACCACTACTTTAAATACTTTTCAAAGTAGAAATTTAACCCTGAATCTATTACAAACTATATGGCCAACGGTCGTTATCCCTGTCCTTTGTAGTAAAACTCCCCCATTATTATACTGCAAATTATCTCCTATTCAAAAGAATTGAAATATATATTCAATAATAACGTTACACGTTACTTTTATTGGTTATTACAACTTTTTTTTTTGAGGTGGGGGTAAAAAAAATCATACCACTTTAAACAACTTTTAAAGTGCCAATTTAACCCAGAATCTTTTACAAACTGTGCATATTTTCAATTCTTTATTTATATTATACATTTGAAAAAAATGTATAACCTTATCACAAATGCATTAAAATTACTCAAAATATAGTGACGTTTTGATCTCAGGAAATGCACATTGATAAGTCTACGGTTTAGGTATTATACCTCCTTATATACGATATGTGTTATAAACAGTATATGTATTCCCCTTATAAAAACAAATCTATAAGCCATGATTGACATCTCAGAAACAAACACAAAAAACATTTAAGGTATAAATTTTCTGGAAGTTATCAGATAGTAAATTAAGATGTAAAACATGAAAATGATGTACATATTGTCAATAGATGTGTTAAACGATAAATTACATTTTAATTGGATGTACTAATAGTTGTTTTAAATGTTGATATCATTCGAGTATAATAAGATTAAATCTTTGTTCGCAAGACACGCGTGTCGTCTACAAAAGAAAAATCAGTGACGCTCGATTCTAAAAGGTTAAAATGGCCAAATAAAGTACAAATTTAAAGAGCACTGAGGACAAAACTTCCGAACGGTTTTGCCAAATACAGTTAAGAATGACACACCAAGTCCGAGTGGGATAACTATTTTACATCCCAGCTCTTCTAGACTATATGAAAAAAAATTTACGCTCCATAATATCTATTTCAGAATGCCATATATTAATTAGAATATATTTTATATATTACTATATAGTATATACCCTTTATGAGCCCCGGATACAACGTTTAAATATGTTAAATTAACAGTTAGTTTGTATCCAGTCGTCCAGGTGTAGGGGTATGAATGCTAAAGGTCTTGAGTTCGATTCCCCGCTTAGACTCTGGAAATTAAGGGAATTTTTGCTACATAATTTTGAAAGGTAGTCTTTATTCCGCTTGAATATTTTTAAGTTTTATTGTGTGTTCGACAATCCCGCCAAAATGTTACAGATCAAAAGAAAGCATGCAGAACAAAGAAACTCAAGGTAGGGTGATCTGGTAGTCTAGGTTAGTCTATGAAAAGGTATATACTATGAAATTTAGAGCGAGGGGCTTGCATTAAAAAGCAACTAACAATAGATCAGAGATTATAGGTTTTGTGTTTTTTGGCTTTTTTTTCAAAGTAAAAACTAAAAGATTTATCAGAATATGTATATATATAGGTGGCACTTTCTCTTCAGACATTACCACGGTTTTTCAACTTATGACATGCATGAAATAGTTGCCACTAGACGTTCAGCAACCAATAATCAATCTATCAATTCATGACAAAATAGATCAATTTCCCCGCGAAAGTTACTTATACATCCCTCGGATTTGAAATGTTCGGCATTGAGCGTTCCTGATGAAGGTAAATCCAGAAAAGCGCTTCGGACGCATGAAATTATTCAACGTGTTGTTTTCAATTTTTAAAAAAAAATCATCACCAAGTTACCTTAATTTCACTTCACAATGTTTCATAGTACACACTTTTTTTGTGTACCAAATCATTGCATGGATGATAAATTATTACAATTTTAAGATAACGTTGTACTCTAATCAAGGTATAAAGAACCATATCTATTACTCTTTATTTAAATGAAAGGAAATTGCAATTGTCAATTTTTTTTTAGAGATTTTAATAAGATTTTGATAGGATATTTAAAAATCAATGTGAAAACGAATTACAAACTATTTAATTTAATTTGGAACACAGCATTTTATTTCAAAATAGCCAGTGGCAATTTTTGTTTTAATTTTATTGATTACGATACAATGAAATCTTACCCTTGTGGTCATTCATGCGTAGTTACTTAGTACACGGAAAAAGTATGTTATATGAAAATTAGAAGGCAAATTCAAGCAATTTGATTGGACGAGAAGTTGTAAATATGTGCTAAGGGGTGATCCGACTCAGATCACCCCTGTTAGAACAAAGGAGTTGGGATGTTATGACAAATCTCACCACTAGCCTTGTTTGTAGTCTGCTAGACTGTCTTCTCCATTACTTGATTGTCTATTAATGTCCTTTGTACCCAAATGATTTCTTAAGAAAACTATTTAGTAACGCTTCGAATACCAGATAATTAGTTGGCTTGGCCGTATAAACTCGTCAATGAGTTGACAAGTCATTGTTATGTTTTAAATAGCCTCTGACTAAATTTTATTTTATCTAACTGGTTGGGGGCAAAGTAATATTCACCTTATTTCAGATTCATAAATAAGCAATCATATGAAGTTCCTTTTCCCTATTATACTTTCAATAGATCTCTGTACCATCGCCCCCCCCCTAAAACAATTTACATTTCACAAGAGAATGACATGTACAAATTTAATTGAATTGATTATAAGAATATGTATAATATACTAAGTACAGCAAGTCTTTTTACAAATAACCATATCCACGAAATATAGAAATAGACTTCGACGCGTAACTTGTTCTAGACCGTCACATATAGCCATCTCAGTCAATTCACGTGCGTAATTCATATGACTATGCAAATAGTCTCATTACTTTAAAACATACTTCACATGTATTCAAGTCTGTGTGATATAGAGCTTGATATGATAAATCTTTATGACGGTGTCCCAAAATTAATATAAGGGTATTTTCGGCAAATCTACTGTGGTGAAAGCCACAATTGTCCATGACAACAGTGTCCCCGGGACGTAAGCAATATTTTCAAAATCAATCTAATTCATGTAAAGCATTAAAAAGTCAACGAGATGAAATCCATTTGAAGGTCCAGTTAAATATTGAAATATTCAATTCCAAATGGCCCATGAAGGAGGTTTCCCGTGTGGGTGGCATTGGAAGCATATTTGTGTACCTCTTTAGCCTTTTCCACTACTGTTGAATGTCCTAAAGTCTATTTCTAGATGAAAAATCCATATCGATGAAAAGAATTTGTTAGTCCATTATGAACGTCTGTATACTAGTATCTTTATGCCAAGGTCATATATAAAATAATGTGAAATTAGCATATATAGTTTATTATCTATCCGTACACGTCTGTCATTCGTGATTGTCGTTTTTTTTTACATAGTGCACTTAATGTAATAACTTTCATGGATCAGAATAACCTTTGTCCTTCGATTATGGTATACTTATATATTTCAATTTGTTGCATTGTTTCTTTGAAAGACATATATAAAACAAGGAGAAGTGGTATTGTCAACGTATATTTGTTCCGCCTAACAGAAGTTCCAATGGAAACTTTGTTATAAACAAAGTCATAATATCTGTTCCTGTTGGAACAAATGTTCTATACCATTAATTCCGTTAGGAACATATACTGTAACATGTATTCCAGTGGAAATAATATTCCAGAATATTTTTTCCATTTGGAACTTGTATTACGAAGGAACTTCTATTTCGTGACAGTATGATTGCCAATGAGAAAACTGAGGGGAAGGAGGATTTTTTTCCGAGGGAAATTAATTTTCAACTTTGTACGGTTTTGACGTGCAAACATTACTTTTTACTTTTGTACACCTTTATTTACTGCATTGTATTGGGTGAAATATCCATTTTCATTCTGTTTGGGCGATGTCATTCATTTTTAAGTCCTACATTGTAACCAGGTCAGACTATTAATTTTCACAATTCTGCACCCCCTCTTCAGAATATCAAGTGGTCGTCCCCTTATATACAGAGTCAAAATAAAGGTGATTACAGCAACTATAGGTAACTATACGGCCTACAACATTATTAGCAAACCCGATAGCCTGTAGTCAGTTATTACAGGTTCTGACATGACAAAATGTGAAACAATTCAAACGAAAAAATCAACGCGAAACAAACATTTTTTTTTCTCGAGAACCACAAAATAGCAAATGTTCCGAGGACACAGTTATCGTCCTTAGATTTTCGTTGTCTACAAATATAGTCCATTGTGTGGATAGTGTATAATTTGCAAATTTGATTCATACACTTTCCAAATTTATTTCTTTATAGTTTATGCATGAAATATTAAGTAAGGGGATGAAATTATGTGTTAAAAAATATGGTAGCTGAATATTTATGTTAAGTAGTGATTTGGTCCAGTTAAAAAAGGCCAAACACTTGTCCAAATAGAATAGTAGTACACTATACTGTAAAAATCTTTTTTGAGATAGAGCAGGTGCGATTTTTTTAATTTGAACTTATTGTCTAAAAGAAATGCATGACGAAATAACTGTGTTCTCGGGCCTAAGAGATGAATATAGGAAATGTAGATTCTGTAATTTTGGCAACTTCCCTGAATGATTTGTTGGTTTCAATTTGTCAAACTCAATAAAAGTACAGGATTTACATCTTTATATGAAATAAATTCTGTTAAAATGTCCCATTTTGACATCATACTGCTAAAATAAGCATTTTAAAGCAGTTTCTATTGTTAAGCCTAAAAGACATGCTGACTTTCTATCTGACAGCTTTTTTTTATGCTTTGATATTTGTGTTTCTATGATTAATTCAAATTCTATTAACCATTTGTGAACTCTGAATATAGAGAAAAGTAGGTTATCTCAGAAAAAAAATGTGCAAAGTGTTTTGTATTTAGGCCCTGGTCGAACGGCCTGTTTGATGTATGTGAAATGTGAAAAGCTTTGTACATAAAATTTGTGGTCCATCATAAATATTTCACTAAATCTGTAAAATAAGCACTTGGCAATTATCTGTGCACCTTATCCATTTCATATACTACCTTTATTTTCTTCTGTAGGATAGTATGTGGTTCAAATATATGTCAATTGAGACTAACACTACATGCTAGTTTTCCATTGAAAAGTGAAAAAAAACTGTGACCTTTTCTGGATCTTGATATCTATATCTTTAACGGGAAGCTTAATACTAAACTTTATGATAACAGAGATGATTTTTCATTTCCTATTGTTAATTATCCATTTTTAGATGGTGACGTTCCCTTGTCGCCATCTTATGGTGTTTATATATCTCAACTTGTTCGATTCTCTCGTGTATGTAACAACGTATTTGATTTCAACGAAAGAAATCTCTGTATTACTAAAAAAAATATTACACCAGGGTTTTTGATATCACAAACTAGTCAAAACATTTACTAAATTTTATCATCGGTACAAGAACATCATTCGTAAGTATAAATCAAGATGCAGACATCTTATACGTTCAGGTATTTCACATCCAATATTTTATGGTAATATTCTTTACAAGCCACAAAAATGTCGGCATTCACCTCAAAAGCTTACCAAACCTTTAAACAGACTTATTCGGAAAGGTTATAGTTACGATACTGTTGTCAAGTCATTAAATAATTGCATATTTTGATATTAATATTTATTCACTCATAGGGTCTTTGCATCGGAAATAAACACATTTATTCTAAAACCAGTTGTTGGCATGATACGGGTTATGTTCTTCTCATATATTTTATGATGGTGTGATACTAAACCCCTAACGGGAAGGGTTGTACTTGATTTTCATATGATGAAGACATAATCTTTCAATCAGTTTAATTGAGGTCTGGAGCTGGCATGTCAGTAACTGCTAGTAGTCCTTTGTTCATTTATATATCATTGTGATTTTGCTTAGTTTCTTTTGTTACCTATTCTGACATCGGACTCGGACTTTTTTTAAACTGAGTTTTACTGTGCGTATTGCTATGTGTTTCTTTATTCTACATTGGCTAGAGGTATAGGGGGAGGGTTGAGATCTCACAAAACATTTTTAACACTGCCGCATGTTTGCGCCTGTCCCAAGTCAGGAGCCTCTGGCCTTTGTAAGTCTTGTATGTTTTTTTTTAATTTTAGTTCATTTATATGTTTTGGAGTTTAGTGTGACGTCCATCTTCACTGAACTAGTACACAATTTTAATCAGGGGCCAGCTGAGGACCACCTCCGGGTGCGGGATTTTCTCGCTGCGTTAAAGACCCATTGGTGGCCTTCGGCTGTTGTCTGCTCTTTGGTTGGGTTGTTGTCTCTTTGACATATTCTCCATTTCCATTCTCAATTTTATCAGACCATACTGTCTGCAAAAAAAGTTGAATGCAAGAGTCCTTTTGCAATTAGACTTCTTGTTTCATGACATCTTAGCATAGAAATGAAAAAAAGTAACTAATTTCCATTTCTAATAGCTTCTGTATGCATTTTAATATGTAAATATGTGTTACGGCCTAAACATGCTAAATTGACTCGTAATACTGTTCAGTCTTAAATGGCTTAAGACAATTTTATACTCATTTGGTATGCTTTTTGTAACATTTCTTTCCATTTAAAGTACATTTAATATATATAGAAGAATAATTCATAATAAAAATATTCCAAAACTTTAAATTGGTTTTTTTTCTATAATTTTGATATTATTTGTCCCAATAGTAGTACACTACACTGTAAAAATCTTTTTGAGATAGAGCAGGTGCGATTTGTTTAATTTGAATTTATTGTCTAAAAGAAATGCACTACGAAATAACTGTGTTCTCGGGCCAGATATGCTCATACTGAACAGTATGACTTAAACGTTTACTTACCGAGATCCCCACTATATTCATCAACTTCAAGTTTGTATTGGGTAGACAAATTACCGACAGAGAACGTGGAATATTTAGCGTATTCTGTGTTGCCTTCAAAATCGGTAAGATCTACCCTTAGTTCATGTAGTCCGTTCGACGTTAATTCATTGATTTTCTGATTACCTGAAAATGGTTGTAAACATCTTAAATTATATGTGTTGTTTTTTTGCCTCGCGAAAAGACGAAAGTCACGAAGGCCAGACAAAGCTTCAATACATTCTGTTTTCGACGTTGTCAACAGTTGGGTACAATTAGCTATCAAATTTTAATTTTGACATCACTTGCCTTGTCTAGTCTTCATGGAATTTTTCCAAACTTGGAATGAAGCTTAATTGTTATCAAAGGAGAGTATCTATGACAACACATTTTCCCCAGATTTTTTAGTATAGTGCTTATTGTAAGTTCGTTGCTGTAGACATTCACATACAGTCTAAGATTAATTGGTTGGATATCAATATTAACTTTGTCTATCCTCCTTGGATTATAACGAAACTAGGACAGAAGCATGTTTATGATCAAGAAGTATCAGCCGAAGAATTGTTTTCACCTCCTTTCGTATTGAACATATATATGGAGTTAGCTTTTGGTAGTCAACATTAAACTTTTACACCGACAGCAAGAAGCACAGTAGAGACACTGGGTTCCGCGGAACTCTTTGCGTGTTTTTTTTTTGTCAAATCATTTGAAAACCGTTCATCAACATCAAAATAAGGCATGGGAAGTATTAATTTAAGGACAGCAATCCAACGGCACAAAAATCAGAAGACATCATGAGGTAAAAATAGAATATGCGTCTTACAGAGGTGTCTATATATTGGTTTAACCCCTCTGTTATTTGTACCCGTACAAAGTCGGACTATCTGGATATAAGTTGTTATTGTTGTTTGTCTATAATATAACTTTGATAACCTAAGGAATCGGTAGCCGAGTGGTCATAGTAGTCTAACTACTATATCACTAGCTTATAAACACTGAGGTTACGCGTACAAAACCAACACGCTATAGGTGTGCTCGACTGCAATCCTAATTGACTAGGACTGTCATTTTTTTCTACTGAAGGTTGAGGGTTCTCTCCGGTCACTACGGCTTCCTCCACCAATAAAAGTAGACAGCCATGAAATAGCACAATTATGCTGAAAGTGACGTTAAACAAATTAATCAATCAATCAAGCATGCAATCGCATGAATTATCCTAAATGCTCCTCTAATATAATACAAAACAAAACAAATTACCGAGCCAAAATTCCGCCTCTAAATTCCCAAATCCATTTTCATATTCCTCCCATCCTTTGTAAAAGTCTGTCGTCCCGTTTATTCTCCTCTGAAAAACCTGACAATTATAAACTACAAAATAAAATATCAATAGCTTGAATGTTTTTAAATTATTATAAATGCATAATACATATAGCATTAAGGTAGATACTATTTCATGAATGCAAAATGCTAAATATTGTACAATTTCTTCAGTTGTTCTGATTTTTCAGCAATCTTGATAGAGTAACAAAATTGTTCTTTTTGAATTTTGTGTGTCCGAAGCGTTTATCAGTAGTTACCTCCAACCTAGACGCTCAGAACTCAACTTTGAAAGCCAAGTATGTATTGTAGTACATTTTCACTAGACAAAAAGATGTTAGTGCATAAGTTGCTTTACAATCGTCAAATTCATCAACGCGAAATTTGACGAATTGATGTATTCGAATCATGTCACTGATTAACCTCTGACTAAAGTGCTAACGATACCCTCGGCAACTAACAGTCCGACCGCACAGAATCGAACCGGCAAATAAAGAAAATAACACTTAACGCATTTGGTGCGTTCGAAACTAGACAGAATGAATCGAATTGTAAATCCTGTTCATGACAAAGTATTCAGATATATACTCATCCATGAAAGCAAATCAATACTACTGTATATATACGACTTAAAATGTATAGAGTAACGTTATCAACAACAGTTAATAAATAACTGATGGAGTAGCATTTACCGTCCAATTTCCGTTGTCTGTTTCAAAATCACAATATACTTCATAACCACTGCTGCTGGATGAGTTGGAAAATATTGTGTAAATTCCGTTTCCTTTTATTGAAACTATGTCCCCACAGTCTCTTGGTCGAAAAAGTTCTACACCTTTTAGTTTTTCAATAAAAGATAACCAGAATATTAACATATGTACATATCATGTAAAAGATTACAGTGATTAAAAATCACTTGCAATGAATACCAAGTGGTAGTTTTTGTGACAAAATAAAATTTCCCGTCCTAATTGAACTCTTCTTTATTGCTTTAATAATTCTCTTTTTGTACACTATTGCCTATCACTAATACGTTCTTCTAAATAGAAAACACAAGCGGCAATGACAAAAAGATCGAAATCATTGTTGAAAAACACAAAATACATATACAGATAGTCGCCAAAAAAGACAGGTTCTAAAATCAAACAATAGACACAAAATTAACCGTCGTAGGCACAATAGACGGTCCATGGTTTCCTGAAAGTCCCGAATTGTTTTTTCTGTTGAGGACCCAAGTCGTCGTGGAAGGTCTGTTTCTACTTGTTTGGCAAATTAGTAATTCACAGTTGTTGAAATCAGCTTTTGTTAAAAATTTAAACTCGTATTATTTTACATGATAGAAGTTTGATTTAGACAAGTGTTCGACATCATTTATACCAGGCCTGATAATTTCGTTCGGTAAAGAATATCAATGCTAAATGAATAAAAGATATAAAATATTTACCAACCTCAACATCAATTGGGGTATTAAAAGATATCTATTCATATGAAGCAGCCATAACATGACCGCTTGCAATGGTCGGATATTTTACCTAAAGTGACCAGTTGACAGTTGTACGTTATCTTTTCATTTAAGTTGAATGTGTATTAAAATAAATCTCAAAAATACTAACCTATGGCAGTGATCAAATCATCCAGAGTGTTTTGTTTCGTCATCAGAAATGTATAACTCTTTTCAACATGATCAAGTTTCACTCCAAGTTCAGCTGCAATTATAGGGAACTTTAGAAATTGTGATTCAAATATTTTTAGACAAAACCAGAGAGAGGTACACATATGGTAGAACAATCAGCAATCATATGTCAAAGACATTCAGAAAAGACCCATATATACCTCATATACCTCCCCCCCCCCCCCAAATTATATAAATAAAAATAAAATAAAGTAGTTAAAACAAATAAATAAAACAAAAGACATCCTCATAGCAAAATGAACGAGAGATCAAAATTAATAAAGCGTTTAACATGTTTAATAAAGTAAAATCACTAGAGATCTTACAAAAATGTAAATCAATTTCAAAAGAAAATTAAAATATGTGGTATAATATTCAATGAGACAACTATCCACTAGAAGACAAAATTAAATTAAAATGATATCTGTTTGACTTCCACAAAATCATATACCACACAAATAAAACTAAAATAAGTTGCAGTAAATACTAAGCCAGCAGACATCCTTTTTTGTCAGATGAATATTAATTAACCATAGCGTCTTGAAAGACAATTCAAATGGTCCATTTGAATGTGTGCTCGTTTTCAAAATTGGTGATTGATTTGAATATAGCAAGACAAAAAAGACGGGAGAAAAGAAGAAAGAGTAGGACAAAAACTATTGCCGAAAACAGAAAGACAAACCCCTTATCAATATAGACATCCCAACTAAAGAAAAAAAGGTTTAGCTGAAATAAATTGTTTGTATTTAGAATTGGTGATTCATTCGAATATTGATAGACAAAAAAAAAGAAAGGAGAATATACCAGAAAGAAGGAGAAAAACGATGAGTCGAAAAATAGAAAGACAAAACCCTTATAAATACAGAGTATACCCCCCCCCGAAAAAAAAAATAAATAGAAAAAAATATATATACATATATATTGATAGTTTTTTTCTTTTTATTTGATTGACAAGATTTGAACATCAGTAGACTATTGTCGTCTTAATTTTATATTAACTTTATCGCATGCAATAAGTGTCGGCATTGAAAGTTGAGCACTATTGCCTCATGAGAAGGAAGACGAGAAGACAAACAATACAACACAAAAATCAAAACAGAAATTTATAGATTTAGTAACACAAACCAATACTGTGTTGTCGGTTTTATTTTGAAAAGCTTAACTGATTTTTTAGAAACACAATTATATTTATATCAATCCTCCAAAAAATATAAAAAAAATAACGAAACATCTAAATACCATCATGCAATTTTTCCAAATACACAAATCCGTTAATATGAATTATATTTTGGTACCAGATAACGGTTTAAAGAATACATTCCTTATTGTTGGACATAACTTGATATATTTACTGAGTCCACCGAAGAGACATTGATTGTCGAAATACACATCTGGTGTAAAAACATCGGTATCGTTTATGCTGTTACTAGTAAGCTTTTAATGTATCATTTGACCAGCATGAACATGCACAAAGATTAAGTTTGCATTTATTTTGACTTACCAAACAACGTGAAATAACAAACAGTAAAGACTGTACAAGCTGACATTATAGATACTATAAGTGTCATCATTAATATTGTAGTCCATTGCTGCCATGATATATTAACTTCATGGACAATATTATTGTCTTTCTGGTCCGTACTTTTGTCTTCGTGGTCCCTTGTCATGTCTTCGTAGGTATGCTGGTCTTCAGCTCTGTTGAGTTGTTCATGCGATTCTAACTCTATTTGAGGGGAAGCCATCTTCGTTGTTTATGATTTAAATTTAAACACTTATCTATAATAACTAATAATTGACAACTGTATCTCCAACGTTCTATGAATAACCAGTACAAATAACAAGAATGAGTCAGTATTATATTTCCACCAATGAACACGTGACCATCAATAGGTACGATTGGATACATAATGTTTAATTGTTGCACAGGATAATTTACTCATTCCTTTATAATTTTAAAACGTTCATTCGATTATACTGTTTTACGTTAAACTAAATAATACAAAAAATGAATTAATTGATGTTTATATTGATACGATGTATAATATTAAGTCCTCGGAGCATTTTCAGATTTTTCAGGATTAGATTTGTAAGGTACACTTACCCAGGTATGTCAATAACATTTAAGAACTGTACAACCTATGTTTCCATGAGTTTATAACTTCAATGGTTATCTTGGTAGTATATTCATACTACCAAACCGAGTACAGTCGTTTGTACAAATGGTAAGACAATTTTAATAGGCATGCTTATATATTTCTGCAAAGTATACGTACATTGCTGTATTTGTATTCCCGTGGACGCCATATGTAGTGTAGTTGTATTTTTACTTTTTCGCCCTAACACCACTTGTAGACTTAAAGAACTGTAGACTTTATATAAAAACAAATGCATTTTAAATTAACTTTTTATAGATATTTTTTTGCAAGTTGACAAAAAAAAAGCAGTCGACTGATAAAAACAAATATAACGTTTTTCAATGATCTTTAAACATTTTAGCTTTCAATGAAACTTTCAATAATACATAAATGAGAAGTATTGATTACAGCAACCACTAACAACCGACCCCTCCAAGAAAATAGATGTTCAAAGAAGAGAACGACGAACAACACATACGCTTGGCTTGGTTTCGGTAGGAAATGTGATCGGATAAAAAAGAATAACTCACCAAAGATATCTGGTATATGATTCTGTATACATGCAGACGACAAAAGATAGAAATGTCATTGACGTTAACAAATAATTTACTTTTAAAATAATAATTCACAGCTGTTTATATTTGTTGATTTAATACCTTATAACATGAGGAAAAATGTAAATGGGGTTTTACATTTACAGTCTTAAAAAGACATGACAAGTTACTGATGAAAAGTACAAAACACTTGTCTAAAGTGCACACGGAAAAGAAACAGACCTAAAACTTAACTCAGAGGCGAAATATATTTATAACAATTTTACTAAGAAATGTACGGATTAAATTATACAATTATTATAATCGCTTTAGCATGTTTAGTAAAACAGATTTATTCGTTCTGCCAAATTTTTCACACTTCTGTATTTGCATACAAGAAGACGTCAGATGTATTGTGAATGTGTTATATTTTGTGTATATGACCATTGATGGACCTTGATTGGTCAACAACAATCTTATTTCCTTTAAAATTAGTTGATTATATGAATTGCAACACTACTAAAAAAATGTATATTATACTTATGATAGTTTGAAGGTTACAAATTCTCAACGGACTGAGTTTAATACAAATTACTTATCTACGGACAGTTTATCTTTAATTTCATTAAAATATATAGTTTCAGCATTCAGAACTGAAATACTTGAAAATTATTAACGTTCCTTTATTATTTTTGTCATGCTAAGAGATAAATTTAATCGTTTATTTTTCCAATCCATTTATTCTTTCCAATTTTTTCTAAAAGACAACGATGAACTGAACTGAAATTAAATAACCTTTGGCTCTATCGTTGACCTTTGTGTAGTGCTAAACCGTTTTGCTAGACTAGATTTCGAAATAGTATTTGCCAAAACAATATGAATACATGAAAATCAAAAATTTCTATGAATTTTTATCTATATATTTCATTCAAAATTACTCTCAACTGACAAGTAGCCTACTCGATCAACGAATATTTTAACATCGCAACTTCATAAAAAAATAGATCAATAGACTGATTCTTAGAAAAACAGTATGATGCCATTGCAAACTCTGATAAAAAAGTCATTGAAGATAGTCAAGAGTTTTTGAAGCTTGCTTAGATTGTTCAAACCTGGTCGTCTGATAACTATTCCGAGTATGTTAACCATCTTGTTGATCTCGTGGAAGCGTGCTTGCCACGTGTGCAGGTGGTCCTGGATTTGATCCTCGACCGGGTCAAACTTAAGACTTGAAAATTAGAATTTGAGTTTTCTCTGCTTATCACGCGACATTGTAGAGCTAGAGCAAATACTGGTAAGCTTAGAGTCAGAATAATGTGTCCGGGTAAGGTGACATGTCTTCACGCGGACTGTTACCTTGTGAACTATCACGCTAAAACTCAGACGCAGTGTGTCGATCTAATACAAAACAGAGTTTATATTTAAAATACATTATTATGTTTTTGTCCTGAAAATGCATTTAGTATAATGGGACGCTAAACAGCAATATATTTGACTATGTATCTTCTGTAGAAAGAACAAGGTTTCGTTTACTTATTTTTTATTTGTCTGAGAATCATTATTTTGTTATAACATGACAATAAAAATGAAAATGAAAATACTTTTCTACATAAATGAATAAAGACATTTTCCGGAAATTTTCTTCATATTTGACATTTGAAAGAATAAATAATATTGATAAAATAGTAAAATTTTAGGAACGTGAGTAGCGGCCATTGTAAACGAGAGACGAAGGGGATACAAACGGGATATTGAAGGGGGATTCTAACGTTACAGAAGCTATATGTGCCACAATACCCATTACAAATTGTATCTAGCGAAAACCAATATTCTACAGAGTAATCGTCAACTATATTTGTACGACAAACAGCGTATGAAGTCCAATGTTTATGATTCTATTGAACTTTTGTATTGTTATCGTTCTGATTTTGCGGTCGGATTCTAACAAACACATAGAACTAAGGGCCATTCACTTTTTTCTATGCAAAAATCTCAACATAAACAAACATAAGATATTAAGCATTTTATACCCTGAGTCGTTTCAGATAGGTATAAATCCAAATAATGGTGTTAAGCAGCAAACAAATGCATTTATTCAGATTTATTGCAAAATCTTAGCTTTTGTGGGAAATTCGCTTTTCATACCAACCCCAATCAATTCTACAGATTAAAATAATCTAATTTGGACATATATTATTATTATACAGACAGCGCTTTCCATTTAAGATTCACTGTTGCGATTTGTATATCACCAAATCTTATCACGATTACGTCATCTTTTTTCATCTAAAAAAAGAAAGTAGCATTGGTCATGTCAATTTCAAGCATTTCTTGAAAGC